CTTTCCGAGAGTTGCTGGGAAACCACGTACATCCTTGTGCTGCTTGCCCCAGTCAAGTATCGGGCACAGAGCTGGAATTAGCCCAAAACACATAAATGCACTAAAAACAGCATTTCAGCCCCAGGCTTGCTTGTTCCTTCTCACATTAGCTCACTTTCCTTGCCAGGTATCAAAGCACCCTCCAGTCTGGCAGAGCATTTGAGCCATCCTCAGCCCTGCTGGGTAAGAAACGAAACACAGATACTTGGAAGAACAGGGAATCCCACATCTCCCCCATCCCAAATCTTCTCTTGAGATCCAATCACTCAACCAACTCCTTACACAGGATCTCTCGGACACGAAGCCACGATGTCCTCCTGGGTATCTTTACCCCAGTAAAACCTGTGACCTTGCTGGGACACATCCCCCGCCTGCTCCTGGTGCCGTGAGCTGGTGGCTTCTGAGAGACCCTGGGTCTCAGCAAGCGGATCCAGACAGATCCCAACAGTAGTTTAAGTCTCTCCGGGGATTTCAAAGCCCATGGTTAGTGCAAAGCCCAGTGTCTCTGCAGTGACGGTGGCAGACACAGAACACCCCCGGCGTTTCCTTCTCTCACCAGATGGGCATCAAATCACCTTGGAGGCAGGTTCTGCACAAAGGAGATGTGCAGCTTCTTTCCATGGCCAGTGTTAATCTGCGGAACTCCCTGCCGCAGGACACTGAGAATACTGGAGGTCTGTGCGGGCTCAGAAAGCAACTGCTCAAATTAATGGCAGCAAAATCCATCAGGTGACATAGAGGGAGCCACAGATCTGTGGAGGCACAAAAGGTGCTCCTGGAAGCGTGGCTGTGAGTTTGCCACTTCCATACAGTCTTTGCAAGGCACACGGAATTAGGTACTGCTTGAGAGAAACCTTGGATTTGATGGGTTCAGTCCGAGTTGGAGAGTCTTTCTCGCACCTTCAAGACACAGCTGGGAGCACACATACCTGCTGCGAGCCGAGGAAGAGGCTGTCCCCACAGCAGCACCCAAAGGCAATGCTGACACACGAGAAACGGGTGAAATTCAAGCAGCCGAGCGCTGCAGCCTGCAGCTGAGTGACGGAAACCAGCACGGCATGTCCCCAGCGCCAGCTGCCCTGAGCCACGCGCTGGCACCAGAGTGTAGGAAGGAACTGAATTGCGTTCAACACACCCAGCTGGCTGTCGGCACATGCAGGCAGATAATGACGGACCCACGTGTCCTCCGTGGCATAAAAATGCTGCTATCGGTGAAGGAGAAACAGCGTTTCCTTTCTCTCTGCCCTTCGCCTGTCTTATCAGGGCAGCGGGGAGGCTTTCAGTTTGCTGTGGGTTTGCAGGGTGGGAAGGGCCACCTACTCCCAAACTGGGGCTCTTTGCACGGGAAGTCAGGAGGGAAGCGAGAAATTCCTTCCTGCCAGGAGCCCTGGAAGGGGTGCTGGGTCCTGGCCAACATCCACCCTCCTCACCCGCATCCCCGCTCCCTCTGGTCTCCCCAAAGGTCACTCTCCCTTAGTCACTGCAGCTTTTTGTTTAGGAATACCAGCTGGGAAGTTTTGTCCCGTGTAAGCAGGGCTGACCATGGCCCCTGCCAAGCAACTACAGCAGAACTTTCCCTGCAGCTCTCCAGGCCAGCCAGTCTCCAAGAATCATGGAATGGTTTGGGTTGAAAGGGACCTTAAAGATCATCCAGTCCCCCCCCCTGCCATGGGCAGGGACACCTTGCACTAGACCAGGTTGCTCCAAGCCTCATCCAGCCTGGCCTTGAACACTTCCAGGGATGGAGCATCCACAGCTTCTCAGGGAACCTGTCCCAGTGCCTCCCCACCCTCTCTGGGAAGAACTTCTTCCTGATATCTCATCTAAACCCCCCCACTCTCAATTTAAACCCGTTACCCCTGGTCCTGTCACTACAGGCCCTTGTCAAAAGTCCCCCCCAGCTTCCTTGTAGCCCCTTCAGGTACTGGACGGTGCTATAAGGGCTCCCCGTAGCCTTCTCTTCTCCAGGCTGAACAAGCCCAACTCTCTCAGCCTGTCCCCATGGCAGAGGGGCTCCAGCTCTCTGAGCATCTTTGTGGCCTCCTCTGGACTCGCTCCAACCAGTCTATATCCTTCTGATGTTGCGGGTTCAATAGAGAAGAAATCCGTGGATGGAAAGACAGCCAGGCTCCAAGTGCCTGGGGCCATGCTGCCTGCACACACTCAGCTCCCCTGCCCTACCGTTCTCTCCCAAGGCAGGGGGGCACAGAGGGAGGAGGAGATGCACCGGATGGGGCAAAATGGCCTCTAAAGCGTGCGTGTTTTAGGAATATCCGGATGCATCACAGTTATGAGTGCACAGGCCCAGAAAAAGCACTGCTGCTGCCCCGGCACTCGGGCGCCTTCCTGGGGAGTCCAGCACCCAGCTGGCTGCACGGCGCAATGCCACGTGCAGAGAGGCCAAACCCAGGCTGGTCTGCGGCAGCAGGAGGGGACAGGTCCCTGCTGCGGCCCAAGAGCAAGAGCTCAGCCCTACGACATGCAGGAAGGATGAGGCCTTGCGCACCCCAAAGCAGACAGCAAACACCCCCCAGGACCTGTTCTGTCCCCAGCTCTGCGAGCAAGCTCCCTGCTGGCCCAAGACGTGGTGCTCCGACCACTTAAAAATGGCTCTGCCTGTAAAACTGGGATGCCTTCAAGCCCACCTTTCAGCTGTGCTTGCAACATCCGAGGCACAGTTTGCTGTTTCAGAGCAAACAGCACGGAATTCCTGCTCCTGGGGTATTTCTGTTCCTGTAAACCCTGCAAGTTCAGCCACCACCCAGGCTCGGAGCTCTTGGGTGGGGCCACCATTACACAGCTAATGCCCAAAAACCTGGCTCAGCGTGGATTCCCGAGGCTTGTCCAAAAAAGCACATTCAGAGAGTTTCCCCATTCTGCAGCAACTCCCACTTCCTGCCTCACAGGAAACCCTGGCAGACAGTGCGTAAAAATCCAACCAGACTCACGCCCAGCGGGAGAAGCGATAAGAAATTTGGTTCTGATCCATGCCGTGGAGAAACGCAATAATGCCAGCTTCTCGGAAGCCAAAAGACTGCATGCTTGCCAAGAGGCTAAAAATAAGCCAAAGAGGGCTATATTTAAAGACACGTACTCATAAATGCCTCTGTCCTTGATTAAATAAACTTCAGCTTCCAGAAAAGCACTGTTTTCCAGCAGCTTGGGAGGAGTTTTGGCAGCAGCAGAATAAACATGAAGTCCAAAACTTTCAACACATTTTAAAACAACTACCTCATGGCTGGAGCTGTGCCACCATCAGCGCCGACCCTCCGACAGCAGCGGCAAACGGAGGGCTTGCTGGCCTGGGGCAGGAAGGGTTTCCCTTCCATCGCCCCGCACGGGCCCAGCGCTGCACTGGCACGTCCCCGCGTGGCTGCAGAAGCACCGTTACTTCAGTGAGTGACTTCATTTTGCCTCCTTACCTTCACTCCTTCGAAATACACCGTCCTTTCCAGCTCAGTGGGAGAAGTTCCGGCTACGTGGTGGCACGAGCATCTACGGTCGCACACCGTCACCTGTCAGGGTCGAGCCAGGGACGGGGGTAGAGGGACCCACCGAGTGCCCTCCGGAGGAGCTTCTTCTCCAGCTGAGCCTTGCAAAGTGACAATTCCTTCAGCTCTGCAGGATAACAGCTCCAGCACGCTTACGAAGAAAGTGTTTGCACAGGGAAAACTGTCCAAGACCCCTGGGTGAAAGGAACTGTGCCAGAGCTCGCTCAAGAGCACCGTTTAACTTGACGAGGAAGCCCTGGTAAAGCTACCTTACAAGAGCACGGTGCACACAGAGCTCAGCCCCCAGGCATCGAAGGGCTACCCGGTCTGGTTAAACAAGGCATTATTTTAATGTCCACATTTTATAAATACATATTTACAAAAGGAAGGTATCAATCCAAAGAGTTAAACAAATATACAGCTCCCAAGTATTGCTACAGTACGGGGAGAGGAATCGTGTTAATGCAATCCCACAATTTACAAGACCCATTATGCAAAAAGAAATCACATTCTTAACCCACAGTACCTCATCCGAAGCTCACGACATCCACCGCTGCAACGGCACGATCTGCCTTGAACAGGGTTAACGTGACAAGGAGCCCACCCCTTTCACACAAAACACCCCGCTCTGTGCCATCGAAGTGAACACTGCAAGCCAACGCTGCTCGATCCTACACAAGGCTTTCCTTCCAGCCCAGACTCCTCGGGAAGCACGGTTTATGGACAGCATACCGCATGGATTCAAGAAACCCCTGTCAGTCCTGTTCCCTACGCCGAGGGGCTGGCGAGGAAACTGCAGATCACATCACCCTATGCCCTCCCGGCCAGAGAAGACGACACGCAGCACCAACCCCCGGCTGCTGCGCGGGGCCGCGGCCGCCCTCAGACTTACTCTGCCGCTGCGCCTGCAACCTTCCCTGTAAACTGGCTGTGCTCTTGCTGCGCTCTCCAGACAGGCGCAGGCCGACAGGTAAGGAGGGACTTCCCATGCATCCAGGGGTTTAGGATGCCACTGAGACCTCCAAGAGTGCTGCCGATACATGAGAGCGGAGCAGCCCACAGGTCATTCCCTGCAGTTTCCAGGAGACTGCAACAATCTCCCCGCTAAGCCCACAGCAACGTTGCCTTCAGCTCTCCTCCACTGCAACCACCTCAGCGCCGTTCAAGTCGCAGAATGAGAGAGATGCGGAGCCAAAAGAGCGCTACCTAAACTCCCTAACAGAAGCAGCAACGATCTCCAAGAATAAAATGCAGCAACGTCCACAACTGAAACTATTTGAGGCACCAACTGCCAGAGGAGTTGGGAGAGTTCTTGGATAACGAGGCTTGGCTTGTGCAGGGTCTGTGTAACAAAGGACATCCAGCAATTTTCACTTGATTCATCCAGTAGTTACAAACCTGTGTGAGAGCCACCTAGGGTATTTTTTAATTTAAAACTTAGGCAAAATAATTCTATTTAATCAAACTAAAGAAAGGACTTAAACACCAACAGCTAGTGGAAACTCAAATATAAATTGCTAGGAGCGTTAACCTGAAGTCTTGCACAATTTATTTACTTCTTTTAACTCACACCCATGCCTGCAGCTCCCAAATCTCATGGTCAGAGCAACATTCTCTGCTGTCCACTACTGTGAATCCGGTCAGGCTCGAGGCTTCCACCATGCTCAGGACGCTGTTTGGTCCTCTTTAGCCACGGTCTGCAGAAGGCAAAGAATAAAAGGAGTACAGGAGAACTGCATGCCTCACTGCCATGATTCTGGAGCAAGACATTCATTTCTGCCAGATCGAGGCTGGTCTGAGCCTCTGGTGAAGCACTGCAGGGGTAAAAGCATTCAGCAGCAAATCCAGCTATGGAAGAGCACAATCCCAGTACAGACTGCTGAGAAAGTTCTGTCAGTGTTTGAGCTTCTGATCACAGTAACGACAGTAATTCCGGCAAGCATCTGTGAACCTGGAGCAGCCAAACGACCCCTCCCCAGAGCCATCTGCCTAGTACAGCCAGCCAGGGTCAGGAAATGGAAAATGACAGCCCAGAAGTGGAACAGGGGACGGTTGTGCCTACTGCTGCAGGGACCTACGGAAGGAAGAAAACCCAGCGCTGGGGCAGAAAAGGGCCTCTTGAGAAGATCTTTTTGGAAGTCAGAAAGAATATAAAAGGCAGTGGCAGCCCTCTCAGCTAACAGCTACACACTTCTATGGCACCTGTCCATGGCACCACCAAAAAATATGAGCTCACGATGAGCTGCAAATGGAATGCAGTGCCAATGATCAGCAAGTTACTCTGTGACGTTACTGAGGGGGCTTAAATTCACAGGGCAGCAAGGCATGAAGGTTCCCTCTGCAGAACTACCAACAGCAGCTTTTTCAGTCCTTTGGTTGGCCCAGGCAGGCAGGAAGCTGATGGACAGAAAGAAATGCAACTGCACGGTTTCCAAACCCCTGGAAATCTTACCTGCCGCAAGAACTGCTTCCCAAGATAGCTGGTCGCCATGCTTGTCAAGTTCTTTCTACTGCCAACTTTACACCTGATGTAACCGTAAAGGTTGGCTCCCTGAAGCACCACTCCCATCACAACCACTGCCTGAGACACAGGAAAACAGTCACAAGTTCACGCCGCCTTACTCGTAAGGTGCACGATCTGCGCTGGGGGAGCCCACTCACCAGCCATTTCACTTTGAAGGAAAAGAGAGCGCTGAAAGCAAATATCACCCAGATCATAGGACAGGTAATTAGACCTAGCCAGAAAATTCGGGACTCTGCTTCTGATGAGGTTTTACTTCCTTGTGCTACCTAGAAACAGAAAGGAAACAGAGATTAACAAGCTGCTCCATTGCGCAGATCCCATTGTCATTAAAAACAGTCCAGAATCCCTAACCCACAGGTTTTTGGCTCCACACAAGAGTACCAGGTGCTTTCTGCAAGACGAAATGTTTCCATCAGAAACAGTGGAAGCAGCAGCACTGAATCCTGCTGGAATGCTTGGGGCTAAATGGTTAAGTTTGGGAGACATGACATTTATTGAGTGGTTCAGTTATGAAGCTTAGAAAGAGCCAAACGGGCAGCATTTTGTGTCTCCAAATCACTGCACAGACAACCAGAATTTCACTAATCCTAGCACTGGCAGAACTAAATATCGATACTCTTAGGCATCATGTAGGGCAATTTTTTCTTTACATGCACAGAGGACTGATTCATACCACACTATTGATTTTACAAAGTCTTTACAGAGCAGAAGATCCCAAGGAAGCACTCACTTCTTCCTGGACTGGGTTAACAACTTACGGGTGAATTTACAGTATCACCAGCAGTTCAGCTCCCCCACTGCGTTCTAGCTTTTCTGAACTAGCAGGTTTTGAGAAAGAAAGCGCCTGTAGTGAGGTCAAAAACTCAGCTGGAGAAAAGTTTAGGTTCAAGTCGCTATACCACTGCCGATTCCCATGTGGGTGTAGGAATGATCCGCATGCCACTGTCTCCATACAGAGAGAAAAGGATCCAAGGGTGAGTGAGGTCACCTGTGAGGCGCCTGACAGATGGGATACTAGAGAAGCAGCAGAAGCCAGCACGAGCACAAAGGCAAGGCGACAGCCATAACGAATGCTATACGTTTCTTCCTACCTCCAGCAGTTTTATGCAGGACATAAAAGCTACCTCAGCTGTTCCAGGTTTAGACCAGAAAACCTGCACATTTCTGACATGACATGGGAACCTTTCCTGCAGTTTATGTGGAGCTTTTCAGTTACTTACATTAAGCCAGATCAATACATCATGAGAATTTTTAAATAATTCAACAATCAAAAAGCTCATTCAGCAGCCTACGTGAGACAAGCCCATGGTTACAGATCTGTGACTGGAAGTCGATGTCTACCATCACAAACAACCACTAATTAACGGGGGTTTCATAAACCAGAAACAATTCAAAGGGAAAAAAATAAAAAAAATATTACCTTCCTGGCTTCAAATACCCAGTGACTTCTGCCATCATCGTCCACCTGGTTCCACCAGCGAAGGCCAACCATCAGTCGCCCTGTGACATTCTGAAAGAGAAGAAAAGCAATGAGCTTTACATCTCCTGCTAAAAGAAACCATTTGCCGAAGTTCAGCTGTTTGGGTTGCTATTTTCAGTGGTGCTCATTTGCCTCACATGTGGGCAAACAAGATTACAAGGCACTTATGCCCACAACAATCTATTTTCTAACATGGGCCTACAAGGAAGCTGAGAGGGGGCTTTTTGCAAGGGCCTGTAGTGACAGGACAAGGGGTAATGGGTTTAAATTGAAAGTGGGGAGGTTTAGATATCAAGAAGAAATTCTTCCCAGAGAGGGTGGTGAAGCTCTGGGACAGGTTGCCCAGAGAAGCTGTGGATGCCCCATCCCTGGAAGTGTTCAAGGCCAGGCTGGATGAGGCTGGGAGCAACCTGGTCTAGTGGAAGGTGTCCCTGCCCATGGCAGGGGGGTTGGAACTGGATGATCTTTTAGGTCCCTTCCAATCCAAACTATTCTATGATTCTATGTCCGATACAATAGCAAACTACTGTGAGGCTTATTTCTGGTGCTTCAAAAGTGATCTGATAACGAGGCCTGCGCTACCTTAAAAGAAAGCCTAATATATGTTCTCCATTCGATTTTCAAAAAGAAACCAGGTACACAGAGATTTAAGAATTCTTATTTCATAACGCTTCACAAAACATCACAGTATTTGAGGGTATTTTGGGCATCATTTTATGGGAAAGGCACAAAGAAGTTACTTTTCTGTGACATGCATATCACTGCTCAATTACTCCTATACAGTAAGACGAAGATAACAAAAAGCATAAAAGGAACTTACCTTCACAGCCCAAAAGTCACACGACAAGAGGAGGATAATTGTCACCATGCAGGCAATAAAGCTGCTGGTTAAGAGCTCACAGAGCAGATAGACAACTATCGCACTGACTCGGAAGAATAAGTGGAAAAACGATGCCACTGGGTGCCTGGAACGAAGTACAGTACAGTCACAGCTCTTTCAGACAAGACAAGCAATTTCACAGAAATGACATTGCCAAGGTGATCTCCCACCGACTCACAGGAGAAGGATCAGCATCGTAACATGAACCCAGCATGCAATGGCTTCTGAAAATATGGGAAATACACTGACTAGAAGCTCATCGTAAGGAAGACACATTTCTACATGCAGGGACATCCCATGTGCAGACAGAATTTGGGGTGGAAGGGGACAGGGAGTTTTACCTATTGTTCAATGTAAGACAGCTTTTATGGGGTAAACTTCAAAAGGTTCTGACAGAGGAAATACCTCTGAAGGAAAGATCACACTTCTCAACCCAGCAGACTTGCCCTTCTTTCTGATTTCTGCAGTTTCCAGGTTAGAACGTGCAGTACAGAGCTGATGTCACCACGGCACGTGGGTATGGACACTGCTCTGTGGCAGGAGTTCTGGCAGAATGAGGAAGGAGGCAGCTGCACTAACTATGCCAGGACGTGGCAAACAGCAAGGCAGCACCAAACATGCTCAAGAACAAAGACTGGGGAAAAGATAACAGAGTAGCCCAGAACCAGAACTCAACACGGTGAGAACCTTCCATCACACAGAGTCATTTTATCAACGTGGATTCCTTACACACAGGAAAGCAAACACATACTAAACGTGAGGGTACCCAGAAGCATGAAGGCACAGATCTGCAATTCCAAGTGAGCTTCTGGAACTGGTCCTCTCAGTCCTCCAGAAATTACTCTCCATTACTTCCAAATAAACAAAGAAGGCATTTGCCATGACATATTTTGATGTAATAGGGCAGTCCTTCCTTCCTTGTGCTTCTGCCAGGAACTCATCCGGACACCCTCTCTATGCCCACTGACCTTATTTTTGACTTTTTTGATCTCCTGGATATATCATCATCTGCATCAAAGAGAGACACATCTTCAATGTCATCACTGCTGTCCTAAAACGGGGAACAGATGAGAAGTTACGTGTGAAACAAGCATCAGTTTTCACCTTGAAGCAGGGACAGTGCTGACTACCCAGTGGCACCTTAAGATCAAAATAAAACTGGGAAGAACATGAAGATTTCACCACACAGAAAACAAAACAATGCAGTATTAAGTGTTTTGATGTGTGCTTTGTGAAAACTGCATAAACTCACAGCGTGAGTCCAAGGGTCCTTTCTGCACCCAGGCAGCTAACTTTTGGGGCTACACCCGGGGTCTTGTATTCTTCACTCCTTCTGGGGAGCTCAGTACTTTATACAAAAGCTGTTCCTATGACAGGCAACGGACTCTGCATTTCAGTGGATAAACTGGTGAGGGAAGCAGAATTGATTCCGGGGCTCAGGGCTGTCGCAGGCCTTGCCGGAACGTGACACCGACGGCCCCAGCCCGGCCCGTGCTCTCACCCGGAAAACCTTGTCCCCGTGCCCAGCCCTGCCCCAACGGCTTTCAGCCGGCACTCCCAGGAGCAGCGCTACAGCACATCGAACTGACCCGTCCTCCGACACCTCCCCCATCTCTTTGATGGATTCAGCATCGACTCC